TAACATTTTCCCCTCCAATTTGAGGCTTGTCTCAGTCAAAATTACGAAACTTAGGTTCATTTTAATTTGGATCAACTACATAGAAGCCCCCACACTTTGGTAACATTTTTATTAGTTAGATAAACAATGGTAACATTTTTACGGATGCTGAGTTATGATTCTCCTCTGAAAAGACGTGCTAACAAGAGGCTGTTGGCTATGGAAGAGTAGTTTTACACAATACCTTGTTGAAGTTCATTAGCTTTGTTCTTGAACTGGATTCTGTACTTTTGCAGTTTGTAATTGTCTCTTTATCCGGCTGGGGTCTACTCATCTTTGGGGGTTACAAGTTCTTCACTGGAGGGAAAGGCAAGAAGGAAGAGGTACTTCAGATTTCTTTAACCCATAAGTATTAAGATATGTTTTGGATGATTATGGGCTTAGGCATCAGATATGCAAAGCAACATTGCCGTGGTTTTTTTTGAATGAGCACTGTTTTCAATGAAGAAGGATGTGTGTCATAATTTTGTGTTATCAATCAGATATGCCTTTATCCCTGTCCCAATCTAGTGAGATGTAGCCTTGTTTCCAGCATATAGGTTTTGTTAAATCTGTGCATGCTTAAAAATAAGTAGGATGCCAAAAACATAACTAGAGAACTCACGTTGCGTCTCTCACTTTATACACTCACAAATAATGGTTGTTCTCCTTTTGTCCCGTCGTCACATTCGCTGCTTTATATTGTATGCTTTTGGTTTTATGATATAGATGGCTTGGTATTCTATAGTTAGTGGTTCACCTCTAAGAAAATTTGCAAGATGACACTCTTGTTTGCAATATTCAAGTTGTTCACGTATTGAAATTTGATCACATTATTACGGGTTTTTGTTTTGCTAATTGCTACTAATGTCTCACATAGAGCTAGCTATGGATCAGGTTAGTTAATTTAGGCTGGGTCAGGGTCTTGTAGAGTACTTCTGTGTAACTCTAGGATCAGGGAGAAAAAAAAAACAAACTAATTTTGATTGAATCAGGTAAACATAGCTGGAAGTGTCGTTTTAACATTCCAGCATGGAGTCACTGATGTAAACTAGTGTGTTGTTTTGTGATGTGGTTTTAGCTTTTGCTGACTAATTCTTGCTTTGGTTCAGAAACTGCGGAAGCATCGCACTGAGGTTTGGAGTTTTAGATATTCCCAGAACTTGTTTGAAATAACGAGTTTGCTTGGATATAATGTCCTCAAATTTCATTTTCTTTGTCAGCAACTGATTTTTGATCAGTCTATGGAGATTGATACATTGAAAAAATATCGAGGTTAATGGCTTTGTTGGGAGTTTATGCCCTGTCCAATTATGTCTTTTTTGTAGTTACTTCTGTGATTTGATGCATTAACCTTTCATGTGTCAATAAAATAATGACATTCTCCTTCCTAGCTCTAATCCTTTTGACGGCTTTTAAGGGCAGTTAGTTATGCTCTTGAGAAGTAACCCAATCAGACCCTTATCTTATTTTTGGATTCAATAGAAATTTATTAGCAAATAAATAGTCCTTTTCAGTAAATTAAAAAAGCCACTCAAACACAAGAACAGTGTGTACTCCAATTTCATAATATCTGCCTTTTTTTCTTTAAAGCAAGTCTGCAACTCGTATTGACGCGATTCTTCAATTTCTGGGGAATTTTTTATATAGTAAACTCTTCAATAGCGCAAAGTTGTTTTTTCTAGTATGCAGTTTTGTTTTCTGGGGAATTCTTAAACCAAATGAATCACTAGCTCTCTTGGCTATTCAGGGATGGTGGTGGTGAGTGGCGGCTGTGCAGCTGGATCAAAATATTCGGTTTTGATTTAAATGGGTCGAGCTTGAAGGTAGGCCTAGCCCATTTGCCCCCACAAGGCTTGGAGCCCAACTCACCAAATACAGGCTTCCAACTATTTTTTTTTATTCTTGGGAAAAATTTCAACCATTAAACAAGGTTGTTCTGATAATGACAACAGTCCCAAACAAATCTATGTTAAATGAAATTATGTAGAACTTGTACTCAAAAATTGTAGGAAGGTGTTATCAAATGAAATAGCCAAGAGATATAATATAGAATCAGCTCATGATTTCTAAAGTAGTTAGTAAGGTATGTATAAAAAAGTAAAGAGCAGTATGGTATATATCAGAAAGTAAAGAACAGTAAGGACCACACTGATTGTAAAATAATGCTTTGTGTTTTTATCACAAAACATCTTTGAGGTTAACAAAATTATCATGTTTTGAGTCTATTTTGTTTTTTTTGCCCACAAACGATACTCAAGGTTAACAATTGTGTTCATAACTAATCTCAGTTGTTGGCTTCCATCCAGCTTCCTTCAAAAAATATATTAAATTGTTGACATGACACACATGTGAAACTTACATATCTAATGATATCGTGCATATATGGATTGGTTGGAAACAAAACATTCTTGAGGTTAACAAAATTATCAGGTTTTGAGTCCATTTTGTTTTTGTGTGTCACTAACGATCCTCAAATTAACATTATTTGTGTTCATAACTAATCTCTGTTGTCCGCTTCCATCTAGCTTCCTTCCAAAAATCTGTTAAATTGTTGACATGACAAACATTATTTGTGTTCATAACTAATCTCTGTTGTCCGCTTTCATCCAGCTTCCTTCCAAAAATCTGTTAAATTATTTGTGTTCATAACTAATCTCTGTTGTCCGCTTTCATCCAGCTTCCTTCTAAAAATCTGTTAAATTGTTGACATTATAAACATTATTTGTGTTCATAACTAATCTCTATTGTCCGCTTCCATCCAACTTTCTTCCAAAAATCTGTTAAATTGTTGACATGACAAACATGTGGAACTTAAATATCTAATGATATCGCGCATATATGGATTGGTTGGAAACAATAACCGGAGCGGACCCTTTTTTATTTATTTATTTATTTTATATCAGTTTTGTCGGTCAATCGGTTTTTCTATTTTAAAATCACAGCAACTAGTAATAACTTCCAGATATAAAGGGAAACTGTTCCAAAACTGGTCGCAAAGGTTTTATGCACGCATAAATTACACACTTTATTTCATATTCAACAGGGAAAAAAAATAGTGGACAACTTTTCTGGGTAACTAACAGGAAACAAGAGAGACAAGTAAAAAGCAGATATAGACATGAGCCCATCATCCAAGATCCATGTGAGTTCAGCACAAGGAAGCTACCCTTTTGACCTCAAAGCATGAAATATATTCAGCTTAAAAACAGGGGATGAAATGGTCAAGAACCAATATCATTGACAATCCCATTGAGCTTTCTTTCCAAGACTTCAGAACAGATTTGCCCCATCATATGGTAGAACGCCAACAGATCAGACAATTGCTCAACTGACATTTTCCCCATCACATTCCTTGCCAACCTTTCTCTCTCCTCATTCAACTTTAATCTCTCTATGTAGGACCCTGCATTTCTCACTGTTGCACCCATTTGCTTTAGCCTGTTCTCCTGCTGTAAGCTCAATGCT